GGGGGGGTTGGTGGAGACAGGGACAGTCCTTAAATCTTTGACCAGAACCTCAATTTTCAGTAGAAAGGTTTGTTATCGTTTCTGGGGCGTCACTCGAAAAGTCAATTTGGGGCGGGCTGCCCCCCTCCCCAGTAAACTGGGTTAAAAGGCAGCCCCTGAACCTCAGGAGCCCCATGCAAGTGTGTGGTTTGAGGTGCGGTAAGCAGCGCGGCTACTTCCAGAATGCAAGTACAAAGACTCCATACCATTCAACGCAAAGAGTTGTGAAATAAATGTATCTAATTCACTTAGATAAAGTTCAAACCACGATTTAGGGAGATTGTGATTATTACTGTGTAGCACGTGAGAAATGTTCACAAACAATGTAGCAAATTGTTGAGGTTAGAGCTCGGGGCAAAGTGCAGGTTGGTTTGGAGTGGGTCTAGCCTAAGTGAGCTCACTGGGAAATGCAACAATGCATTTCAAATGACTTCAGGCAAAGCCCAGTGTGATATCCATTTGCCCCAAGCCAGACTCATTTTAATGCGTTTCGCAGTGATGGTTAATTCTGGTACCAGAAAGCTAATACCGTGACCCATCACATAGCAACACTGCAGCCAGTGAGCCATCTGGACTTAATTATAATAATTGCTGTTGATTCTGGAAAATTCCAGCGTTGGTTCATCTTGCCGGCTCTGTGGCTATTTTTAGCTGAGGGATTTATGCAGATAAAAAACAAAGTGTACATCAATAAAGAAATGTAAAACGCTGGCGGGGGGGGGGGGGGGGGTGGTGGTTATTTACAGCACAGGCTTTACTGAAACGTAAACTGGCGTTGTAAACATCGTCTCCGCCTCTAAGTTTCAGAGACTGCATCGTTTATTTATGTTTTTCTTTCCACTGACATCAAATTGTGTCAAGTTATGCTGAACTGAGAAACCTGTTGGGGGGGGGGGGGGGGGGGGGGCTGTTCTGCTAGGTATTTCACTTATGCCCATATCCGCATGGGGGGCATTACACAGAAAGAAAGAGTAACACAGTCACAAACTCCCTACACAGAAGTCTGGCACTTTCACTCAAAATCCATTTCACATCCCGAACAATTAAACTGCTTCAATTATTCAGATTGCACCATAAAACAAATCGATCTCACATCTGTTATATAGTCCCGCATGGGAAGCGATGCTTTGATAAGAAGCCTAATTTCGTAGCTGCGTGACAAACGCCAGCACAGGAAGCTGTAAAATGCATTAATGGGGATTTGCGAGAGGCATAAGTCCCTCCATTGTCAGGCTGTAAAAAGATACTCATGTGACCCTGAGGCATTAACGCGGCCAATGGGAGATGCAACACGCTCGCAGACTGGGTGCAAAGGTGCTGCGTGATTGGCTCCCAAGCTGCTCTATATCCCCAAACCACCCAGGAGCTGACTTCGCAACCGAAACCATGCAGCATGATGGCCGCCAGCTGGCTGGTGTCAATAATCATTCAAAAACACTGTCACGACTTGCTCCGGCCGTAATCGCTTAATGAAGAAGTATTTGTGAGATTGTTGTGTAATGACGACTTGTCTGCGCACAGCGAGCATCCGAGTCACGATGCAATCACGGCTGACCTAATTTCTGCCGCCTACGGTCTGGCCCGTATCAGTTTAACTTAGACACACCAGTCAATAAGTGACGTCCCCAAACGTCGATGCCGATTTTACTTTAGCTACCTGCATGGGCCGGCTTCCCGTAAGTCACATGACCTCCGTGGCCTGTTCCACCGCATGCCCGGAAAAGGAAACATCCTCGTATTCAATCCCGCATTTTTCAAAACAAACACGCCATCGGAATCTCTCAGCATGGCAAAAACACGCCTCGTTTTTGGACTTTAAAGAGCTGTTGCCCGACATCGGCTGCCTTACCGCTCCTGCCAGCCATAAGATCTCCACATTCTTTCGTTTCTTTGTCCCCACGTTCTGTCCCAGAGTCCCCAGTAAATCTTTCAACTCGGTTTGTGTTTGGAAACAAGGTAAACCTGCAGGAGGACAAAGACAAGTTCAGCCACATACCACCAGCCACATCCTCAAAGACTTTCTCTTTGTAGCTACTAAACCAACAGCACCGGCTAATAAAGGTATTACATGCAACCCTGTTTCCAAAAAAGTTGCAACGCTCGCTGTGTAAAATGTAAATAAAAACCGAATGCAATGATTTGCAAATCTTAAAAACATACATTCAACTGAAAATAAAACAAAGGCGGCATAACAAATGTTGAAACTGAGAAATTTTATTGTTTTTTTGACAAACGCTGTATCAGGCATCGGCCGGCATGTGGCTCAGTGGGCTAAGCCTCTGTACATCTGATCAGAAGGTTGCTGGTTCCAGCCTGGCCTCAGCATGTCTGTGGCTGCCTTCAGCAAGGCCCGTAACCCCCCCCCCCCCCCAGCTCCCTGGGTGGCTGCCCTTCCTGTCCATCTTGCTCTCACCTGCAGAGAGCAAGTCGGGGGAGGCGTAAAGAGAATTTCCCCATGGGAGATCAATTATTATTACTAACATATGCTGAACTTGAATCTGATGCCAGGAGCACATGTAAAAGGAGTTAGGATGGAACAATAAAAGCCTGGTAAAGTTGTGTGACGCTAAAACAAAACATCGGGTTGAATATCTCATAACTAATTAGGTTAACTGGCATCAGGTCAGTAAGATGACTGGGGATAAAAAGAGTCTCCCAGAGAGGCAGAGCCACTGTACAGTGAAGATGGGGGGAGGTTCACCACTGAAAAGACTGCGTGGGGAAATAGTGCAAAAATTTAAGAATAATGGAAAATCTGACAATTTCATCATCTATGGTACAAAATAATCCTTAAAAGATTCAGAAAATCTGGAGAAATCCCTGTATGCAAGGGACAAGGCCAAAAACCAATACTGGACAGCTTTGATCTCCGGGTCCCCAGAAAGAACGGCATTAAAAACAGACACGATTCTATAGTGGAAATCACTGCATGGGCTCAGGAACGCTTCCGGAAACCACTGTGAACACAGTTTGTCGCTGCATCCATTAATGCAGGATGAAACTCAAAGAAGAAATCATATCTAAACGTCATGAAGAAAACCTGCAGAGAGCAAGTCGGGGGAGGCGTAAAGAGAATTCCTCCATGGGAGATCAATTATTATTACTAACATATGCTGAATTTGAATCTGATGCCAGGAACACATGTAAAAGAAGTTAGGATGGAACAATAGTTGTGTGACGCTAAAACAAAACATCGGGTTGAATACCTCATAACTCATTAGGTTAACTAATAACAGATAATGGAAAATCTGACAATTTCATCATCTATGGTACAAAATAATCCTTAAAAGATTCAGAAAATCTGGAGAAATCCCTGTATGCAAGGGACAAGGCCAAAAACCAATACTGGACAGCTTTGATCTCCGGGTCCTCAGAAAGAACTGCATTAAAAACAGACACGATTCTATAGTGGAAATCACTGCATGGGCTCAGGAACACTTCCGGAAACCACTGTGAACACAGTTTGTCGCTGCATCCATAAATGCAGGATGAAACTCAAAGAAGAAATCATATCTAAACGTCATGAAGAAAACCGATTTCTCTGGGCCCGAGCTCATTTAAGATGGACTGAGGCAAAATGTGGTCTGATGAATCAAAATTTCTAATTCTTATCGGAAATCATGGACGCCGTGTCGTCCGGCCTGAAGAGGTGAGGGACCATCCAGCTTGTCATCAGTGGACAGTTCAGAAGCCAGCATCTGTGATGGTGTGGGGGTGCATTAGTGCCCATGGCTTGGGTAGCCTGCACATCTGGGAAGGCACCATTAATGCTGAATGATATATACAGGCTTTGGAGCAACATATGCTGCCATCCAGATAACATCTTCATCAGAGGAGGCTTTGTATCTTCCAGCAAGACAATGCCAAACAGCATGGCTCCATAGTACAAGAGTCTGGGTGTTAAAACTGGCCTGCAGACAGTCCAGACCCGTTACCCTCTGAAAACATTTGGAGCATCATGAGACAAAAAATATGACAAATGAGAACCTGAACTGCTGATCAAGAGAAATCCCAAAATCAGGCAAGAATGGGACAACATTTCACTTCCAAAACCCCAGCAACTGATCCCCTCAGTTCCCAAACGTTTACAGAGTGTTGTTGAAGTCTTTGGATTGGTCATGGCTCATTTCACTACATGTTGTACTTCTTATAACTATGTATGTTACGAATAAAGAATCTTGAATCTTAAAAGGAGAGGTCATGCAACACAGCTGTAAATCTGCCCCCGTTTGACCTTTTTTGAAACGTGTTGCTGGCATGAAATTCAAATTGAGCAAATGTGTCATAAAACAAAAAAAATTCTCTGTTTCAACATCTGATATGTTGTCTTTGTTCCAATTTCAAATAAATATGGGTTTATATGATTTTTAAATCACTGCATTCTGTCTTGATTTGCATTTCACACAGCGTCCCAGCTTGTTCGGAAATGGTGCAGTGTTGCTTAAGAAAGGTGACAGCTACGTGTATCTTCACCGACAATTTGCAGTTAACCATGAAGTTTGGACCAACTACTTACATTCCAGTGGCACCTTGTCGCTTAGGGACTTGTAGTAGCCATCTAAAGTCTCAAAGTTTTTCACGTTTATTCGTTCCTGTAAAGAAATGTCCCCAAACCTGGACAAAGACATCACAATTAACACGCTAGTTTCTATGTAATATTTTGGCACATTTCTGTCGACTATAAATGTATCATGCGACGTTCCAATAGTATTATTAACTAGGTGCAGTTAATTAAAAACTAACAACACTGGAATTGCTATAGGGCTGGTTTCTGCATGACTAATTGTGTATGACTAATTAATGTAGATGACAAAAAAAAATTTGCACAGGTATTTTTAGATTTTGGGTGTACGAGGAAATATTTATGACTCAAGTATGAATCGAGTATCTCCTCACCAAACAATATGACCAAGAACTCTGCACTCGATGCTAAATTTCTTTCAAAACATTTGTGGCCCAACAGAACGTCTACCGCACTGGAATCTCTGACGTCTTTGTGAAAACAGTGATCACGTTTCAGTCTTGCTTATTATAATGTGGCTTGAAATGAACTAAAACATTGATTTGTTAGGTCCGTACACATCCTTAACTGAATAACAAGCACCTGTGACCATCCAAGTTAATTTCGGTAAAACCCATCTACAAGGTCTTGATTGGTGAGCAACAACATTGGAGTAGGTGCCTAAACTGTCAAGCTGAAATAGGATTCTCTGGAGTTACTAAGGACATCCAATCAGCCGTATCATACCTTTCTGCAATTGTCTGCTGTTCATTTATACCAATGTTAAAGAGCACTGGATACACTTGTAAGGGCTTTCCGTCTTTAATCTCATTGGGTAACGCCTGGAACACGTCGGGTGGTAACGGCACTTCGACAGTGTAGTGGTCCCTGGAACAAAGCGGGAAGGACGGAGTTAGGGTTCATCAACCCGTGTTGTGGATGCAACGCTACTGGTGTGTTGCGGCAGGCTTCATGCCCCTTATGTAGAGATCGGCAAGTGTTTCTGATTGGCTGGTGATGGACACATGGGCTGCCCCGCCCTCAATGGGGTGGGTGGGCGAGGTCATACCGTCTGCCGAGGATAAGAGGCTGCAAGTAAGCGGGGTTGTGCGACACGGCCTCCGTGATCCTGAACGCGACTCCTCGCAGGTCCGAAATGCCCACCTCCATGTCTTCCAGCATGCCGATCTCCTCACCTGGGCCGGGGGGGGGACAGAAGACTTATAAGATCATCTAAACATGGGATGTTTCACAGTGGCCCCAAGCTGTATGCAGGATCGGGGGCAATAAATGAAAAGCTACTCTCCAGTTCGCACTCAGGACATGGGATACGTGGACAGGATTTATCTGTAAGTACGAACCATTTCTGAAAATTTTATGAAAGTCCTGTTGGATTTCATGACTGCTGGGTAAGTTTTGGTTCCCTGTACTGTAACGTATCATGAAGAAACTTGACTTTAGGTCACTGGTGTTCGCATCTCAAACACACACACACCAAAAAAAAGAGACAGAGTGTTTCGGAAATCTGCTCTTCAATTCCACTATCCCTTTCATAACCAGTGCGGCAAGTTAGTTATAATGGAACAGATAATACGGACTGGGGGTGAGACATCATCAAACACAACACTGTCATTGAGCGCTCTAAGAGAGAAGAGGATTATGGGTGTGTTTTGGTAAGGACTATTTAGTCACTTACGACAGTGCTGTGCAAAAGCCTTAGGCAGTCATAAAAAATTATGTTTGAATGATCTTCATGTTGGTGTTAAGACTATGATATTATACCTGTCAAATTGTGTCAGCTTCGCCATTTCAAACCCTCTGCTAAAATCACACCAGTACTGGCAGCGGCCACCCAGTACTCCCATGTATTGTTTGATTCTACCACTAGCACACCTTGATTGGCTAATTAATTCCACCCTGGATTATTTAATGAATTAGTGAATTATTTGAACTGGTGGGGAAATTTGGCAAACATATAAAATGGCTGCGGATCCCCTAAGGGGGAGGTTAGGAACTGCAGTGCAGCTTATTTAGCTATACGACAAGGAAACTTTCTGGAAAACAAGATAAAATTCTTGTTTATTTTCTATTGTGTTGCTGTTACTTTGCATATATTATAATGTTAAATTGCGTTTCTTTCTGAGCAAACACACAATTTCTACCAAGATATAGCCTTAAACATGTTCTGTGACTGCCTAAGACTTAGACTTCCACAGTAGTGTATACAAGACTGAAAGCTCACAGAAATTTTCCTGGTAATTATTAAACCACAGGCAAAGTACATGCCTCATTGTTTTCATTTCGTTTTCAGCTGCACTGTTCTTTATATTAGGCAGTATCAGACTTTCATAGTCCTATAAACATAAGAGGTTCCAGGAACCCCTCCCCAGAACCGCCAGGAACTGCATGCACTTTATACTGTCCCCGCTGTGTCACTTGTGTTTATAGACGTGTGATTATTTTTGGGTTGTTGAAGAAGGCGACTTGGATGAGAGGGAAGCGAGGAGGGGGTCAACGGCGGGGGCCACCCACTGTAGGTGCTGAGGAGACTCTCGAACTGAGCCACCAGGCCCACGACGTGCAGCTGCTGCAGGAAACCTTTGTCCTCCACGCCGGCGTAGAGCCTCATGAGGAAGCCGCAGGTCAGGGCGGCGAGCTGGGGGGGGAGGGAGGCCAATTACAAGCTGCCGACTGTGTCCAGGGCAAAAAATGGGCATCCCCAGGGCACATCTTGGAGTGTTTTTATGGCCCATTTAATCCCGTGCATCATAACCGGTTTCCCCGGGCGGTCATGTGACCTGGGGTGAACGGCCGTGTGAATCTCACGGAGGTTCTTCCGCCTAAAGACGCCAGGCTGTCACACACACACACACACACACACACACACACACACACACACACACACACACCAAATGCTCGATCTACTTTCACAATGAACTCTTGCTGTTTCCAGGAACACCAACACAACCCAGCATAACAACAACAAGCGCCTCAAAATGCTGTCTACACAGGAAGGGTGGTAATGAAAAGGCAAACTTTTTTACGACACTTTTTAAGACAAATGTATCCAAATGTTTGATTCCAGGCCTTACGTTACAACTTCTGCACAATGCAGCTATTAATCCTCACATTACCTACAAGCATACTTAAAAATGTTCATATCACCTGTGACAGCTAACAAATTGCAGTTGCGGTTACATGCTTTACACAGTGCAAAGTCAGCACTGACACAACATTAACCGTGAGTGGCATCTGCGTTACACTGTTAGGTTGCTCTGACGCCAGTGCCCCCTAATGGTCAAGCAGAGACATCACAACCAAGTTCATATTTTGGTTTGCTGCATGACACAGTCCAGCTTTTTAAATTCATGGATACAGCTGGATACTAAGCAATTAATAGAAAGAAAAACAAACCAACTGCCCAAGTAAGACGCTGAGGAAAGACACCCTGATACGTGCTATACTCTGATATTTTTCACATCCGATTACTCACTCACAAGCGATCACACGCCGTAAGCAAGATTAGGAAAAGCCTGACAGACAGACAAGCGTTCGCCAGACAATTAAGGAAGCATCCAGACCGGTCCCATGTTTCATTGCCCAAGAAACCGCAGGTCAAATGACTGATGATGCGGCAAGACTCCTGCAAGCCCTCCTGCCTGGAAAGCTTGAAAATTCAGCATTTGTTAGTACAGAAAATAGAACACAAAACCGGCACCCAGTCTGCTAGCCTCTCATTCCCAGGCCTAAAAATATCCCCTCCTTTGCTTTCTTCCAAGTAAAAACAACTGGATGCAGGGCGAGCTGCCTAGCAGGGTGATGGGCGAATACCCACGGCCTGACTGAAGACCACGTCCCGCCTCTGTTTCAGCAGCAGGCCTTGTGGGATGCTGCACACTGCCTCCTGCAGCAGCACGAACGTCATGGACTTCCTGGCACGGTCCGCCACTTCTGTCACGCAGCCCTTCAGCACGTCCACCAGGGGGCGCAGCTGCTCCGGCCAGTCCCCTGGGAAACAAAGTGCATAGCGCCCCCTGCAGTCAGCTCCCAGAACGGACAGCGAAAGAGTAGTTTTTCTACAGGTCGCCACCCGTCCAGCAATTTCCAGGACCACTCCCACATTTTGGTCAACTGTCCTGGAAAAAAATGTATTTCATTCTGAGACACGGAATGTCCCTATCAATTTCCCTATCACTCAGACCGAAACTAACCTTTGGAATGGTGTTGCTATGTGCAATATTTTTCCGTCAATAACTAGATTCAGAGTTCAGAGTTAACTCCTAACATCCACGGGACCGGAGTTTCAAACCAAGATATGCACCATAGGGAAAGGGGACAATAGTAATTATAACTAAGCACTTTATTTACTCTAAACCGAGAAGCGGGTTGTTCCGTCATTCATCTTCCAAACACTAGAGGGTGACAGTGAGTGTACACCAGGCGGCACATCGGCAATGTTCTGGATAGCAGGGAGGAAGAAAGAATACGAGAAAATGTGAGGGAACACATCAGCCGGCAGGTCGGGTGTAGGAAGTCACCACACTGTCCCAAGTCTGGCTGCTGTAAATTTAAAAAAAAAACCCAAATGTTGGTGATCCACATGTTCTGGGGCAGATTAGAGTGGCAGCGCTGCTCTGAGAGTCCATTTACAGTTATCGCACTTAAGAGAAACTGAGACTCCTTTTTACACATAGTTATTAAATATTAATGGAATCCATAATTAGCTGACGATTTATTTCAGGACGTTAGCAATACAAATTATTTCTTAATGGCAATGATGTAGTCAGTATAGAGTGATTATCCTACGATACCCCAAAGAGGGAACGACAGAGAGCTCTCGGAGTAAGCGGCAGTAACATTAATATAAGTAGCCACTAGGTGCCAGTCTACTCCACATAATCATGCTATTTAGTTTTACACGTACTGCTGAATCGTTAGAAAGGCCGTTTTCTTAAAAAGACTGGTTCTCAAGCTCTAGAACGGCTGACTAAGGACTCCTCTATCGTCGTAACAGTTTGCTGCACAGGTTGACAGACACCTCAAATTTTACAAGGCCCAGTGAAATGGAAGCTTTGAAGAAAGCAGGAAGAGTCAAAAAAGCACCAGCTCGCTCTGTACGGGGCGGAGAGACGGCATACTGCTAACCCACGGCCTGCTGTCGGTGACCGTGACCGATTCCCGCGGGCGCCCCTCTCTGCCTGAACGTCAGCACGCGTCGTCATCGCCCCCACGGGGCCCCGGAGGGATTACTCTGCCGAGCCTCCGCCCCTCCAACTGTGATTGACAGCTGGAAGCTGACGACACAAAATATGGGGGAAAACCCAAGAAAAATGAAACATAATGAAGGAAGCTGTGGCTTACCAGGGCACAGAGGGGGCGTGGCCTCAGTCAGGGCCGCCTCCGATGGCACCGCCTCTGGTTCGTCGCCGTGGCTCTCCCGTATCTGGTCCACCATGGCGATGATGCAGTTCAGGGCCTTGGCGACGTTTGCCCACACCCTGTCCTAGAGCATCCAGAGATTGGACAGCGGTTAAGCCCCGCCCCCTTCGGCTGTCAGCATGACCCTCATCTGTCCCTCATCTGTCCTGTTTAAATCAGAGGCTTCCAAATCCATGGGTGGGGAGGGCCATGCGCTGTCAATCACCAATGGCTTCAACCAATGGGACGCGCCAGGGGTCTCAGCTGATCCAGTTACTGCCAATGCATGGTAATTTATCCCAATTCATGGTAATTTATCCAAAAAGCATCTCTCTCATCAGCACAACACAGGCATGTAAATACTTTCATGTCTAATTTTAATCTCTCGATTCAGGCAACTGGGGCATAAGACTTCTCAAAAACAAATATGATAGATTTATTTGAAATTTTTATGTCACAGGCAGTTAACTTTATTGACAGCCGCTCATGCTGACAGAACATCGTTAACAGCGCATCTGCCTTTTATTCAGATTCTGAGTGCTGCCTTTCAGTTTACATGCAGAAACAGAGAACGAGCTGATGCTGACGGGCATTTGCACAACAGACATTTGCACAGTTATTACAATAGTGGCATATCGTTGTACAATTCTTATTTATTTCTTTGTACAATTCTTATTTACTCAGTTTCATTTTTACTTGCACATACTCGCTGTCTACTCTTACATATGTTATCCTGGTTGTATTTATTTATACCTAAATTTTTCTTTGCTGTACCTAACCTCATGGGCATCAATAAAAATCTATCCCATCCTAACTTATCTAATCTTATCTTATCAGACAGAAGGGTTAGTTTAAACTTGCCCATTCCTCCTCGTCATACTCAGAGTGGTGGGGTATGGAGTCTTGGGCTTTCTGAGAGGTGGGGCTGTCTGCTGTGGGGGGGGTCTCGCTTCCAGGCCGCCCCACATTATTGCAGACTGGGGGGCCCAGCTTGGTGACGTAGCCGGGGCGTGCGGTGTGCAGTGCCAGGAGGGCTGTCTTCACCAGCTCGTCCTTCAGGGCGTGCACGAACTGCTCCGTCTGCAGTGTGGCGGTTGGGGGGGGGGGAGCAAGAGAGGGATTCAGATGCTGCCATTGGCTGATTCGGTTGGCACGGTGATAAGGAGGAGCCCGCCTTGCTGCAAAACAGGTGACAAATCAGGTCTGCAAACTTACGAACCCATTCGCTGGCAACATCTGAAGGAAGCCAAGCCTGATTGGATGACAGGGCTACCCAAGAGGCATAGCTACAAAACTCTACCCCTAGAACCAATCCAAATACCCAAAGCTGATTCTGTTTACAGTTACGTTTCTCTGACCAATAACCCAGCAGCACACCCCACCCTCCTCCCCGGGACCCCAAAGGTAACCTGGGGTCAGTTGAGGCCCCACTGTTATTTAAACAGAGCGGAAACACATCGGGGGTGACGAGCTAATGAGGTGGATTTTGCCGGAGACTTGGCATGCTGTTCATGGAGCCCTGCTCCCTGTAGAATATCTGGCTGGGGCTGTGCTTCCTGTNGGGGGGGAGGGGAGGGGAGGGGGGAGAAGGAAGAAGCCTGAGGTGATGAAATTGAGGGTCAAGTTGTGCTGTGCCTATAAGCAGCAGCGGTGACAACAGTACTTTGACACCATGAACAGGTCATGACAAGGTGCAAAAAGCACCAAACCCATGTGGCTCTGATGCTCAATCACACCGCCAGATGCGATCCTAGATTACGGCACATAAACAAACCTGATAGTGCCATTTAAAAAAGTAAATAATGAATATGTTTATGTAATTTCCATAAGTGACTGCCTGGGATTAATGAAACCAGCCTCCAGGCTGGAAAACATTCAGCCAAAAATAATCATATTTATATTATTTATATTGAATGAATAAATAATAAATCTTACAAAATTTATTGTGAGGAAAACACTAATAAATATCCCATTAAATTACTTTCTTTTATTATTGAATGCAACTTATTATATTACACAAAATGCACAATATTAAACACAATCCACCCTTTCAATTATTAACTGAAATGCTTTAGCAGGTATTTTTAGCTGGTATTTTTGGCAGGTATTTTTATCTAACTAACAGCCTGTATGGAATAAACAATGGCAGACGGACAAATGGATATTTTTATCTGAAGCAGAGCACATAGTTTGCAATTTTACTATTACGATTCGAAAACCTCAACCTTGGTATGATAAACCTTGCGCTCGCTAAGGGGGGGTGGGGGGTCATAAGTCCCCGTGGACACTATTCTTGTCCCTGTGGAATATTTCCCATAATCCCAAGCTGACTCAGTGAACCGCTATCAGGCTCTTATGGACGTACGTTTCACTACCCACACGCCCAGCCACCAGCTTCCCTCTGGAGTCGGCGAGATTTACATCACTGCTGTAATTATTTCCAACTTTATTAACAGAAAGACAGCTTGGAGCTCTGGGGCCTCCTATTATTTTATGCCTGGCAAATATTCGAACAGCCTGTAAAAGCCGATGGACCCCAGCTGAGCATGCAGTTGAGCGGTTGAGTGCGGTTTGTATCCATGACTAATCCACAGTCAGGCTACCCTAACGACCAAGAATGAGATCCCTGGGACCAAGTACAGCGTCGGTGCCAAAAGAAGATACTTAAATCACCGGCCCCGAAAAGAGCTCTGGAACCACAGTCTACTTCCGGAACGATCCATTCGGATCGAGCCCACTCTCCCCAACACTAACACAAACCCAAATGCCGCACAGCTCGAACCTAAGCCCAGCTTGCTGTCCCCCAGATTTCTGTTTACAGTTCACATTTAACTCATTTAACCTTTGCATTGTTGCTACTTGTTGAGCTACTGTGCATGCATGGGTGCATCCCGGGCGCGTGCCCCCCGCCCTCTACGTCCCAGTTCACTGTAATTAGCAGCTGCGCTCCTGCCTAGTCCTCGATAAAAGCACTGAGATTCCAGTGACGGGAGTGACTCCCTAGTGAAAGGGCTGCAGGCGGCCCTCCTCTGTTGACGGAGCCTTGCTGTTCCAGCCGCTAATGTTCTGGCACATCTCAAAACTGGCATTCTGCCTTGGAGCGTCTGGGAATCGGTGCGCTCCCCCACGACAGAGGGCCCTTTGGCCACCTGCTGGACTGCGGGCGAATCCCCGAAGGCGAAGCGGCCGGCCCGCTGCCCCTCCCCCGCAACAACCAGGCGCGGCCCCCTCCAATCAAACGCCACGGAGCTGACCGGCCCATCCCGGCCACTTCTTTAATCAGGGCGCCAGGGCGACTGCCACGAACCGAATGTACCAATTAAGCCAGCTGATTGGGCTCTATTCCGCGGTGGCAAGAACAATCTCAGTGAGCAGATTGCAATCTGACAGCACCAGATGCAATTCATTAATTACGCCGATAAAACAAAGTCTATAAACCCGTGGCGGCTGCAATTTATCTAGTTACTTTGGCATTTAGCGACCAATCACGGGACGGCCCACACGGGGTGCTATTAACCACCTCGACCCCAACCCCCCACCACCCCCCACGCCCTGCACAACGACCGACCCCACGGTGGTCACGTTAAGCAATTTCAGTTTCAATTTCAACTCCTAACCCTACAGAGTGGAATTAGCATAATGCATTCATAACGCGGACCCGACCCGATCGGGGAACCGCTCGGAGATTAGTGCAGAGATCCGAGCTCCTGATGAGAGGATGCTGGTTCGGCTTGAGGTTCAAGAGGCGCCAAAAAGCCCCAGCGTGAAAGGATCCGGGCAGCGTTCTCTGACACAGCCTAAGAATCCCCATTCTGGCAGCTTCTTTCTGTGCCAAAGTGACTTCCTTCCCATTGTTCTAGTGCAATAAGCTATGAATGGCAATGAGAATTGGGTACTGGTGGGCTGCTGCGTCTGGGGGCCCCACTCAAAAATGCACGTCAGACCCCCCCCCCCCCCCCCCGAATCTTCGAAAACCAAATAAACAGCTAGTGAATAGAGTCACATAATGTTAGCTAGCTATTTTGGTTAGCAGAACACACTTCTTCAGCTTCTCCTAAATAAGGAATGCCAGTATTTCATATTTAGTGCAGTAACTATTTGTGGCCAGCAGGGGGTTAGAGCGCGGTTAGAGTGGCGGTAAACAAGGTCAGTCCGTGGTTGACTCCCATGTTAAACTCAGGCATGACTCACCTTGTCAGACAGCGTCTGCAGCGCCTCCTTCAGGCGGTCGAGAGATTGCTGCTGGGCAGATTCTAGAAGGCGGTCAGCCAGGCTGGAGATGAGGGGGTACAGCTGGCCAATGCTGGTGAGGACCTGGCGGGCTTTGGCTGTGTCCTCGGGGGAGTAGTAGATGCACTGGTATGCCGTGCTGAAGCTGAAATGGGGGGAGGGGGTCATTCAATCGTGGACCCAGCATCCACGCCACTCTGCACCTTCCATCCCATCTCTGAAGCTGAATTTAATTGGGGGGGGGGGGGGGTTCAGCTGCTTTAAACCATAACTAACAACAGTGTCTAAAAACAGACATGCCCCCCCCCTCCGCTGAAGAAACAGGACTAGAAGTGCGTGGGGGCTGCAGCAGTGTTTTACAAGCTGAAAATTTCCCCTGGTGACACACAGAAGAGATCGGTATGGAACGAGCTTTGCATCTGCGGAATTTACACCCAAATCGATGGGCTTCTGCTGAGGCCTACAGTACCGCAGATGTCCAGTAGAGGGAGCGGCTCAGCAGGTGGTGCCCAGGGTGGAGGTTAAGTAACCCGAACTGCTGATTAAACATCTGCCAGTTCAGGATCCCTGCAAAGGGAAGGGGATGTATTTTTTTTTTATACTATTTAACCTGCCTGTCAGCCAGGCCGTGTCCTTCAGGAGATTAACAAGTAGAGTAACTTACCTAGCCAGTCAGGCACATCTGAAAACTACTTAAATTTGGACTTACTTATGACTTATTCATGGGTTTTCATAAATAACTTGATGATATACATGTTAACATATTAATTAGGGTTCCCCTTAATCCCCTTAAAACCCATCTGGTGTATATCATATATTTTATATACTCCTTTATTAGACATATCAGCAACATCTTGGTAACTAATTCCACTCCAGGCGGCCATTTTTTTTATTCCCTACTCAGCTAGGACAATGTGACTCGCAGTCACCATATTCTTGTTCTGGAATAATCCGGATGTGTGGTGCCTTCCTGCCCGGCCCGGTCCCGTGAGGCTGATAGAAGCGGTAATTAGTGGCACTTGTGGCCAACGTAAAAAAAAAACCAAAAACACCCTTTCAGCCGGAGCTGGAGCCGAAAGGCAGGGCAGGGCGTGCCGGGGTGTGATCTCACACGCGTGCCGCCCGCCATCGTCAGCACTGAACACCCTCTGGCAGCTACAACAAAAACCCAAACGTGCCCCATTAACCAGAGTGGGGGCGTCTGCAAATTGAATCGCACCGTGGCGCTCACATGACGCCTTAAATCCCGGCCCTGTGCTTGCCAAGCCATCCTCCCTGGCCACTCCAATTCAACGATAATCAAAGCCTTGACTGCAGAAACTCCGTACTCTAGTAAAATATTTATTACATACATTAACTCTTCTGTTTTTACCACTGTTCTCCAGAGATATTAACTGCCGTGGAGTGGGTCACTCTTAGGAAACTGAAAGCTAAGAAGTATTTTGTGTGATCCGGCAATGAGAGCGGCAAAAGCTTTATTTTGATTTATGTTACATGAAAACATAAAAACATGGAAAAACGGAATAAAGATGAAAGAGGGCTGTGGGAATGAGAGTAAGGTTATGGGGCTGGTTTACTGGGAGGCTGCCCTCCACGGACCCCTTCCCATAATGCACCGGTATGGCGCCATCGCGGCGGTCCTGCCGCTTTAAGCTCTGCCCTGTCCCAGTCCCTGACTGCCTCTGCTACAGCATGTGCCTACAGAGGGGAGCTCGACTGTCACAGGCGGCCGGGACAGCCCAACTCGAGCCAGGGACCCAGAACGAGCAAACACGGCATGCGGACGGACTGCTGGGAGAGGTTTGCGTAGGTGCGCATTCTGGGAAAGCTAGCTCTCTCCGGCCTTCGCAACTAATTCCGACGACAAACATTTTTTCACGTTAATTTTGACGAAGTGCCTCCAATGCCCAGTCAACCAGACAAAACCAGACCCTTAGATACTATACTAAGCAACATCTCTTGACTAAATTCACATAAAACGTCAATCATTGTTCTCTCTTTCGGTATCCACCGCGATCGTAAAGTTTTGATCCACGCGAAATGCTCAACCCCGCCGTGGGACTCAACAAGTCAGGATCCGTAAACTGAAACAGGCACAGCTAAACCGTCAAACACGCTAAAATATTTCCCCATTTTTTCTCCCTGCAGAAACAACCAATAGGAATAGATCATGAATAATGCGAGAAACACAAGAGGCATGAATTATCGTTTCATTAAACCAGTCATCTGAAGCGCATGACTAATTAAGAACAGGAGGTTAATATCCATTCTGAACATAGCGAACTTAAGCATCATGGTGAAATATCACGTTTAAAGGTACAACAGGAGGCCCCACCCTGGATTTCAAAGGAAAACCACTAAGCTACAAGCTGTCATCGTCAACCGTGAAGTTGCTTGGCCCGCAGACGTTGATCTTTGACCCCTGAGATACCAACAGGAAACAGCAGCTCGATCTGTGTGCCGAAGCTGCAGCTACTTCCTGCCACCAAAAAGGCTTCGAAAATAAAATAAACACTAAATTCCTGACAGGAAAGTGCTTTTTCTCCACTCTCAGGCTTTGACTCTAGTGAACTTGTTTCTGTCTATATTTTTCTTTAAAACACACACATACACACACAGCCAACAAAAAAGCCACAGGGACTTATTTTGTTTTCAGCAGCTTTAGCAGGAATAACATCCATCCGTCAAACTTTAAAACGCTACGAAGCCCTAATCTCTGGCCAAGCGTTTGCAGAATTCCTACCTTAATGCGAAAGGCCCTGATTGTGGGGAAACCCTGCCAAGTGAGCTGAATTTATTGGAGACCCTCGATGATGAAGGGAACCTTATTACGGTCAGATTATCACATTCCTCCTATTAAAACAATGTCTCCAGGGTTCAATTAAGAGGAAATGAGAAATTAAGGGCTTTTTAAAAATCACCGTGGCGGAGCGACATCCGGATTAACGGAGGAGAAATGGCCGCACCCCAGCCTCAAAGGCGTCCCGCAGGGGGTGGGACCCGGATAACCCCCCGAGGGGAGCATCAGTGAGGCCGGCTGGGTCCTCAGCAGCTGCCGAAAAATGGATCCGAGGCCAACTCAGTCTGATATCTCGCGAACAAAGGCCAACCAGACCCTTACGGCGGGTCGACAGCGGCCCAAATTCGCAGGGCCACACCTCTCTCACCACTACTATCCAATCAAAAGAGACCGGCTCCCACCAGTCCCGACAGAGTCCGTCAGAGTCAGGCAATGTAATCCCTGCTCCAATGAAGAGGGATGCAACTGTAATTCGTTTTTCCAAACGATGTGGTGTTGTCCCACGCGGGGGGGGGGGGGGGTAAATCGAGCCATCGCGTCAGATCCCCGAGTCGAGGAAAACCGCGGAGCAGACGGGAGGACCCGCCGGCAGCCTCCGCGGGATCCCCGCCCGCTAACGAGGGCTCCGCGCCGCCCCGCCGCTCGCCAAATCACAGAGGCCCAATAAACCGTGACGCACTAATTAGCTGCCTCTACCCACTAGGGCGGCGGCATGAGCGGAAATGAGCCATCGAATTAAAAAGGCAGGATTCAATGTCCCGGGGCATGGAGATGGCAGCACTGGAATGTTGTGGGTTTGAATCCCATGGCTGGCAGTCACTGTATCACTGAGCAAGTGTTATAAATAGAAGCATTCCTGTGTACTGGTGCATGTGCAGAAGGCACTGAAATTAACCACATTATTATTATTATTATTTTTATTCTCATTTCAGTCTGCAATTATTCTTTCCCAGAACCCACAACCACTGATGGGCTTCTACCTGGCGGCCCTGCAGAAACAGGTGAACGTCATACTTTTATGACATACATTTTTACCAAACATGGCTTAGGAAGCTTTATACCAGGGGTGGGCAATCTTATCCACAAAGGGCCGGTGTGTATGTGGGTTTCGCTGCAACTCCCTAATTAGATTACTAATTAGAGGACTGATTGGCTGAAAAGTCCTCACACCTGGGTTTGTACAGCTGACCTACAGGTTATCCCAAAGACCTGCACACACACCGGTCCCTGCTTTATACCATCATATCTCAGGTTTTACCGGAATAAGACCTCAGCCAGCAGGGGGTGCCGGCGAGGCATGCACTTACTTCCTCTTCTCTGCTTCGTATCGGCTGAGCAGCCTCTGCAGGCCGCCGTTTTTGAAGCCCTGGGAGTGGGCGGCCGGGGCCCCCACCGTGATGATGTCATACATGGTGTCTGTGGGGAGACACAGGACAGGTTGAGTACCCCCCACCCATCCAAACGTCCCCATGCCAGGCCTGGCTGCAGACCACACCCCCAGGCCTGGCTACAGATCATACCCCCAGGCCTGACAGAAGACCACACCTCCCAGACCCTTCGTGCCAGCAAGCGGATCCCTTCTCCTCCCTGAAGAGATGGAGTCTTACGGTCATTATACAGGTGAGGCTTCCTGAGAATACGGGGATTTGGCGGAGACGTTTTGGAGGAGCTATTGGCCCCGTTGAACCCAGTTTACAAGTAAGATTTCGACCTCAGCAGCCCAGGGACCGAGGCCTCTCTGCGCTCTTTGGGGGTGCAACCGAAAGGGTAAAAATATGCTAAAGACGACATCATTTTTGTCCCCTTTGTGACTAGCTGACACAGAGACAGGGAAGTTTCAGGAAGTCCTGCCTCTGGGGACGTGTGACAGCAATTAAAGACTTTCCCACGGCGGAAAGTAGGGGCGTCATGCGGAGACGTGCGGTCCCCGAGGCCGCGCCTCCGTCTCCAGCGCTAACGACCCCCCGTGACGAGGCGCTAACAGCTGGCGTCAAGGTGACCAGCTTTTTAAACTGAGCCCTAATTGGTTTCTCCACAGCGGAAAAACAAACCCAGAGGCAGCGTATGTGGGCAGGAGGGATGATGAGCCCGCAGGCGTGCCGGAGCAGGCGGGAGTGAGCGCGGTAAGCGGGGCCGGCAAAACACACCAAAAAGACGACCTGATCGGACCCCGGGAGTCCCGAGTGCCGACCGTCCTGGAGATTTTATTTTGTTTTGTTATTTCACAGCTGCTTTTATCTAAAGCGATGTACGTTTTTGTGAAGGCAGGGTCAGCCCATCCCTGGAGAATCTGGGGCTTAAGGGCCTCGCTCAGGGGCCCGATGGTGACATCACCCTGCCGACCTGGGGATTTGAACCCGCGACCTTCTGATCACAGGACCTTCTGGTCACCCACTGAACCGCATAAAAAAAAAAAAAAAAAGAACTGAAAATGCAGTGATAACTCGAAATAATTCACACTTAACCCGTCGGCGAGTTTTGTTTGAATAAGATAAAGTGTACGTTACGTTACACTCCCGAAATAAACACACTTCCGTGCCCATAAAGGGATCTCCGTCACTCTGTACACCTTCGCATATTCAACACAATAAACAGAAATACCTCTGTGTAAAAATCGGCACTTGTTGAGGTGACGCCACTGAATGCCGTCGGGTTTACGCGGTAAAATGGGACGAGACGATAAAAGGGCAGGCAGACCGCAAAGGTCGATCCATTTGATGCTCTACCGATTCCACTGCCCGCGATGCCGGCATCTGACAGGCCGCCGAGAACGTCTTCGGCGTGGAAAATGTTAGCAGCCAAAACAAAAGCGGGGAAAAGGTTATAGTCACTATTTATATGGCAAAAGCGTCAGGTTGTGACTGGGAGGAACGTACCAGCGCCCCCTAGTGTCCAGAACACAAGGGCCATCGTACCCTCTCTCCACAACAAACCGTCTCTGGTGCGTACGCCCCCCCCTCGGTTTAAGGTTTACTTCTGCAAATCACCATCTGGGTCCCTGTTATTTTCTGGAAATGACAGTGTCAGTCACAGGAAGCAAAAACCGAGAGGGCTTGCGGCAGGGCTACATCTGCAGAGCGGCATTCTGGGAGAAATTGGGGCTGAGAGGCGACTACGCCGCGGCCCGGTTATCCTGTCCTTCTTTGTTAGCGTTTAGCCGCTGGCTCCCCGGTGACCTCTCGCTAACCGCATTAGCTAGCTGTCTCCACCGCGTCAGGAGCGAGGGGGAGGGGGGCGGACTCCGCACGGCCGGGACTCCTAAACTGTCCGTCTCACTTACCCTGGAGCTCAGCGCCTGAGCGCACTGCGGCTCTCACTCACCGGCGCCAACCTGCGCTGACGGCCCGAGTCCGGGCGGCTGCGGCGAGCGGACAGACGCACCTGCTCCCCGCGGACATGTGACGCGCATCCTCTGGGTGTGCAGATTGATAGGCACGAACTCCAAATACTTCTGCCCTTTATGGCAGCTGGGCTTGAAAGACGGCCCTGAGGAGCAAAACAAGAGAAGGAGGGGAAAAGAACGATTAAGACAAAGTAATCAAGGGGCCTGCACTGAACATTCCGGATTATAGAGACTCTGGGAATGGCTGGTATTAGCTTCGTGTTTGTGGATGTATGAACATCAAAAAGGAACATTTTTAATTAAATAATAGAGGAAAGACTGGAGAAATGCATCTGCAATTAAATACATGTAAATATAAATGTTAAAACAATTTATGCCACTGACGTGACAGTCACACAGACGTCTCAGTTATGCGTTTTGGGTTAAGGACACAACATGGGGGTCACACGTCTCTCTCTGATCCACTACAGATTCTGGCAGGTGACAGATAAGGTGACCACGACCTCCAGTTAAAAAGAAAACAAAAAAAACAACCCGTGATGCTTTGCAGAACGCTTGATTGACTTTGATTGATGTTTACTACGGGCACGGGAAGGACAGAGCGAAGTCCACCGGCACGCTCCTCCACATGCTAAGACCGTCCCCCAGCCTGGGGTCTGTTCTGCAGGGCTCGCACGTGAGCAGGGTACAGAGCAGGTCGGGGCGGGAGGGGGAGCCTTAAAGGAGCTGGAGGGGGTCAGAGCCACAATCCAGAGACCCGCAGGAAGTGCAGGAAGAGTTCTAGGCTACAGTTCCCGAAATACCAAATTCTTTGGGTGGCTGAAATGCATGACTGAGGGGCGTTTCCGCAATGCAGGGCTCGTGCTCTCGGGGCAGCAGCTGTCGTGGTGGTTAAGGATCCGATCCTGTGACCGATTAAGGTGACTTGTTCAAATCCCAGCAGCAAGAGTCTTAAGTACCGATTATACAAATCAAATCCCCGCAGGATAAATTAATTAGTAACACTCGAAAGTAACACAAATTATCGCAAATACCATAAATTCCCAAATATATAATTAAGCCATATAAAATTTCAGAAGCACCTGTGTTTGTCATTCTGAGCTGTATTACAGGTTTGTTCAGGCTAATTTCCCTTTATTCACTGCAGACGTACAGTAAATTTTAAGTTAATTTAAGCAGCATATAATTTTCCCAGCATGCTGTGTTCTGGTGCAACGTGACCCAAAAAAGGGCACAGCGCAAATGGCCAATCAATGGGCGGCGGTGTCATCTTCTCCTGGGGGGGTCCAATCAAAACAGCTGCCTGCTGACCAGAGTCACCAGGAGGCAATGACAAAAGCAAAAGGGCCATTTGCTGATCTGATTGCAAACCGCGGAAAACGCAATCATTTCGGGAAGCGATTTAGCCGTGCTTCCCATGGTCAGCTGATCCAATTAAAAATTAACGGGAAGGAAAAACGCTGGCTCTGAGGATCGACCGGCCCGCTACCGCGACCCACGCCGAAGGTGGCGATTTTCTAGGAACAACATGCTCTTCCCTTTAATAATATTAAAAACTGGAAATCGATATGAAGCACGTCGGCGTTTTGGCAAAGGCAGCGTGCTGTGGGCGGCGCTCCAGCGTCAGTACGGACTCGGGAGGTCCCCCTGCGGGGAAAACACGCTGCGTGAAGAGTAAACAGGAGGTAACGTTCCCCCAGTATGCTTGGAAAAGTTGACCGGCGAGCACAAACACGGTAAACGAGCCCAGGGTGATTAAGGTCATCTTAAGATGTGTGAAGTACTCAAATAGCTTTTCTGGTCGGATCAGCCCTGATTCGCTGGGACCGTGCAAGAAGCCACGCCCCCTGGAAGGTACACGGCCTGCTCCTCACGGCCCCATCAAATTACTTTCACCCCCCATCTATTTTTTTTCCTTCTTCCCATCACAAGAAGCGATCTTGATCATTGTTAAGGAACGTTACAAGTCTACCGCCGGCCCTCGGTAAATCTGAGTGACAATAAAGTTCCTCTCCATCCCCAGCTGGTCTTTAGTTCATGCCGGACTTCAAATCTGACAGTCGGAAATGAATTATTAACGCATCACACGGGCCATATTAACATGCGGCTGCGGGGACGGACACGGTCTGCTGCTGGGAGCAGCCTTTACAGAGCCAGAGCAGAGGTCCCAAAGTGGGGCCGACCGAAACGACCACCAGACCTCCTTAAAACATCGGCACAGTAAGACACCGGTGCCAGATTTAAAAACCTGCTCTAACTACTGACCCTCGTGTGTTTTCAGAGCAGAGGAATCAAAAATTTAAGCCTAAATCTGTAAATGTAGGACTTGTTTCTACGCCAATGAGCATGCAGGCCTTAACAGGTAGGGGAGGGACCAGGCTAGCTATGATGGGTGGAGCCTATCAGTGAGGGGCGGAGCCTATGAAAGAGAGGCGGAGCCTACCACAGAGGGGCGGAGCCTATCACTGGAGCTTACCCGTTAGCTTGCTGAGCTCCCCAAGCGTCTCCTGATAGCTGCTGATGACTTGTCCATAGTGGGCGATCACCTCCTTCCGCAGGTTGTCCCAGTGTGGCGACAGCTCGCCCAGGTTCTTCAGCTCCTCTATCCTGGGGGAGGGCAGGGAGGAGACCGTTATACCCGTCTGCTGTGTGGTGCTCTCACCAAGCTCCCCTCGTATTCAGTGATCCAGAAGGGGGACAGAAAACAGAAGCCCTGTTATCATTATTCCCCGTCCGTCGTTGTGTGTGTGTGTGGGGGGGGGGGGGGTTCCTGGGGGAAATGCAAAGCTCGGCCAAAGCATCGACACGTCGGACACAAATTTAAAAACATGAGCAAGCTTCATGATATATCCTCCCTGCTACTTTCACACTAAACCACATCTCTCGGTGGTTCAAAAAAAAAAAAAAAACCAAAAGCCCTGAACCGCATGCAAACTCCGCTGCTTTCCCACACTATGACTTTTGCTAATTAAACTGTAGAAACTAATTAGATCATTTGCTGCCCAAACAAATGCACTTGGCTCTCGACGCATTTGTCAGGGATGTCCGCGAAAGGCGTGAGCGTCCTGAATGTGTCGTCCTGAGGGCAGGAGCTTCTGTCTCCATGCTTCTCGGCCACTTCATGGTGGCCTGGAGAAGAGCAACACTGAACCTCCTACCTCCGACGCGCCTGAAGGAGGATAACGACTCGCTAACGAGGCCTGGCTCAGTGTTGGCTGCTCCGCCTGCCGTTACGCACAGCAGGGTCCGAAGTGACCAACGTCGCCCCCTTCCTGTGGCACAGTGACCCAGCAGGTGGTGGTACCGTTATGTCAAATCCTCAGTCGCTGGGGGTTTCGGATCCCGGAATATTCATCCGTAAATCCCAAGACATGCTGTGTCGGATGTCCTAAATTGGCCTGCGTGAGTGAGCGTCAAATACACAGAAGGACATCCACATAAATGGTTTTGAAGATGGAAGTTCTCTCTGTCTGCTCCTCTATGTAAACCCAGTTGACAGGTTAATTTATCACACATTCATCCGTCCTCTTTTTTATATATATTTTTACTGACAGCTGTATCACGCTGCAAGTGGAAATGCACTAACCGACATTCCTCCAAGAGGAAGCAGGCCGAGGAACTTGTGGTCTTACCGAAGAATGTGCCGCATTGAAATAAACACTGGCAGGCACAGGCATCAAAATCATCAACACAAGTTCAGCCATCTTCTACCACCGCCAGAAAAGGAAGATATCACCATATCGAATGATGCATAGAAAAGACTTTGCGTGGCACAGAAAAGCCAGTAGGGACCAAAGCGACTAAGGAGACCCAATGCCTTGTCAACATCCATGATGCGTATATGGGGCAGCCAATCAAACAATCCCCGGCGACAAATCTCTCCGGGTCATCTTGCGGCATGCATGCCTTTTGGGGGGAGTTCTTCCAGACGGATTTCCATTGGTAATGGAGTCTTTATCTGCCGGATACAGGTGGACCACGGCTCCCAAATGTTTGGAAAAGAACTTCTGAAACGTGCTTCATTAATAATAGGATTAACCACCATAATAGAAGATGAATTTACATATTAAACAATGGCTGATTCTTATGTAAATTTGCACTCGAGGCCTGCGTGCCTCAGTAATATTTGCAGCGAGCAGATAAATATCTTTTAACGCAGGAAGCATAAGTTTGTATTTTGAAGATAATATTGTGAACAAAATAATGCCTGTGTTCTTGTTTCCGGGAAAATTGACGCAAACCCTGTTTCATAGCACATGTTGATTTGAAGATTAAAGTTGGTGATAAAGTACACTGTGCAGCCCCAGGCAGGGTAGCTTAATCCATTACCTACTCTAATCGTCACTAGATTGCTCTAGTTTGTGGTCAATCAACATCACCTAGCCAACTCCCTGACAATAGATTGCTTGTAATATGTGCACATGGACAAAAAAAGTGAACGCTAATGAAATAAATGTAAAACGCCCAAAAATCTAACGCACACAAGCATCGATGCAAAGGTGCATTTATAAATAACCCACTATGAACAGACTAGCTTTCCTAAGAGTCTGTTTGCCAGAGTGTAACCACAACATTCAGCCGCAGTGCTGCAGGACACGGTATAGAAAACCGCAGCATCACTAAAATAAGCGTGAAGTCTTCTGGCTCGACTACAGAACAGAAATACGAGTATCTTTAAGCCGGCAGGCAACATTAATTAAAGCCATAATTAACAATCATCATCATCTGATGCCGTGCATCCGGCACCATCGCAATCGCTGTGTTCCACAGTAGTACTACATGCTGGTAATAAGTTTCATTAAGGTTTTTCGGCCGTGATCAAGTCTACGTGAGAACACGTGCGCCAACATGGACGCACGGAGGAGCATCAGACGCTCCTACAAATGCAGTCAGTTCCCACCTAATCCCAATCCAGCCCCATGCTCTCTGCCTAGGTTTACTGCCACACCCATGGGAAAGACCCCGATCCAGGGATGGATCGTCCTCCCCGAGCTCCGATCGATCGCCCAGTTTCCCGGGCGTCTTCCCTTCTGCAGCTGCATCTGCAGGTGACCGACGAAACTGACAGAAGTGCCCACCTTAGAAATTCATCTCAGGCCGACTATCTGCTGGAAACACTAGGAAAATACCCGTCGGCCTAACAGGCTAATTTCAGGCCCAGAAAGCACAAATCCAGACCATGATTTACTTTCAACCAACCAGTTGAGTACTCTGTGACTGTGACTCTTTATGCTCAACTGGTTGGTTGAAAGTAAATCATGGTCTGGATTTTTACTTACTGGACCTGAAATTGCCACCTCCGCTAAAGCGCTTAATAATAATGTATTTGTTGCATTTCTTCATCTTTTCACAGCAATTTGTCACTAGAAAAACAGAGGCCAAGACACCAATCAAGATATTCAGCAGGAGAAATAAGTAAATGCTTCCCACGCACGCAAAAAGAGCTCGGGGAGATTAAGAGAGGGCTAGCGGAGTGCAAATGCGTTTGTCAACGTCAAAGGGACTGTGGGACAGACCGGCTGTCATTGACTTCAAAGCTGCGCACGGAAGAGAGAGACGGAGCCGCCCCAGGTCATGGCAGCTGCACTTTGTGCGCTAAATTATTTGTCAATCACGGTCATCTATTTCTGCCTGTCCGGGGTTTCCCAGGATCGATAGAAAGCGCCAGAAGCCCACTGACGTCTACAGAAGTTGCCTCAGACAGAACGGGGCAGGGGGCATTTAAATGTGACCCCAGTCATGTGATCCTTGGTTCACCAAACATGTACTGAGGATTTACAGATTTTAAGCTGCTGTTTTAGATGTCTCAGGAGGCGGAGCTAAGTGTCGCTATTGACCAATGGGCAAAAGAGGAGGAGAACCAATCAAATGGCAACACAATGTTTGCCCTGCTGGTAGACTATACTGTACTGTATGTGTCTTCATATAGCCATCTTTATCGAGCGATAAATAAATGTAAGACTTTCTCTGAAAGCTGTGAGTGACTTTGATAAACAGTTTGAGGAACAAACGAAAGGTCACAGTATCAAACTGGGACCAGACACACCAGGATGCCCTCATCGCTGAATGATGGCAGGAGGGTGTCCGGGACTGCAGGGGGGGGCGGTCAGGAGTAATCAGACCTGACAAATACGAGGAATGGCAAAAAAAGAGAAAAACCTACAAGCTATACACCTAAATGAGGAACGAGTCCAAATTCAGCCCAAAAAGCCCTTTTCGGCCCAGAGCCACCCTGACAGATCTTACTGCCTGTCAGTCTCTTCCAGTTCCTCAGGAATATACACCCTGATTTAGATTCAGAGACCAGAACATTTCACGGTCTGCTCCACCTCGGCCCGGCAGCCCGCGGACCTCCCAGGAGACACTGGGACGGTTGCAGGCTAATTTCGATTTTGAAGGGGCAGGAGCGGTATGAAGATTCCGCATCCTCGGGAGCCCCGAAGACAGCCACGTGCTCGGTCCCGCTGCGGATCCTTCCAGAACAGGCGAACGAGGCACGAGGAGGCGACTGGGGAAGAAGCCGTCTGGCGGGCCGACAGGGCCGTTTGAAGTGTTAAGCAGACGTGAATAATTAAAGGTCCCACGAGGGCACGCCAGTAAAGGGGGGCGGCGGCGAGGGGGCGAGCGTGAGACGGGCTCACCTTGCCGCATCTTCCTGGATGTAGAGAGCCAGGAGCTGCTTGGGAACGCCGAACGACACCGTGCATTCCGCCATCTGCTCCCGGACCTGCATCCACTGGCTGTCCGCTGTCTGGAAGCGGTATAACTTGCTCACGGGGTTCTTGAACACTGGGGGGGGGGGACAAAAGAGATCTTAGTGGGCTTCAGGAGGCAGAGCTGGAGTCGCACGCTACCATAAACGGCCCCCTTGTGGAAGATCTCAGCGACTTCTGGTCCCTCAGCTTCCGGATCTCGGAAAGTCTGCAGGGGGCCTGACAACACCGGGTCGATCCTCATGAAAGCCTGTCAGCACCTTCACCGGGGGGGAGGGGATGAGCAAGGCCATCTTACTTTCTTCTACTGCAATACTACTGAAAGCATTCCAATTCAAGATATTATGGTACGGTGTGGCCTTACGGGCTATTTTGAAGTTGCCAAAGAAGCTTAGTAGACCACAGTGCCCAAAATATTTTGCCCGTGAGTTTTTAAGCAACCCAAGAGTCCAGTAGAACGTCTCTCAGCACCAGCACGCCAGCCACCACATCCAAGAACTTTCTTCCTATAAGCCGCAATCATCGATAGCTGAATCTAGACTAGTACAACACTATCAGAACCCTTAGTGCATGTGAATCGCAGCATCTAATGTCTACAGCGCCTTTAAGATGTATTTCTTTGCATACTGTTAGCTGTCCTTTGTACTGGGTGCAGCTGAAGGAGTGAGGGTCCCCAAGTGCTCGCTGTATACAGCTAATAAAACATCTTAAATCCTGAAACTAGAGCACATGGGCACAGAGGGGCAGTTTCAGGGCTAAATAAATAAAACCGCTGCCACATTGGTCTTACACAAAACACCGAAATGAAGGATGTCTAAGAGAATTCCCTGATGCTCAAGCACCAGCAAGAATATTTATTTCAGAGGCATATGTTTGCTCACATCTGTGGGGTTGGGGGGTTCGATTCATGCCCCAGGCTCTTTGTTTGTGATTCTACTTTCGTGGAACGCATACAATAGGCTGACTGTGACTGTGTGTTCGGGAAATTGAATGTCTGTCCCATATACCTATTTCCATATGTAAAATATGAGTATACTCCTCTTCCGTCAGCACCCCCGCATCCGACTCGATGGCACGATAACATCCCCGTTCCCATCTGTCACCCGCGTGACAGCGAGAGGCCGTTCTTCCCAAATAACTTTAACAGCAATTAAAGAAATCAAGATGTACGGAGAGGAGACCAAACGTAATTTGCCTGTTCTTGAAGCAGACGGCTTCCCCCTGATTAGTCCCGACAAAATCAGAGCGAGGTGTTTACGGAATTAGGTGGAATGATTTCTTGGGGGCGATGAAGACGCTCCCCTGGGCTTTCATGGGCGAAGCAGACCTGCCATATGGTAATTCCGGATGTAGCTGGCAGAGACTGCTGAAGGGAGAAGAGAGGCTTTTTAAACGCTGTTATCGTTTCTGAGCCGTCGGGTTGGAAAGCGGTTTGATTCCGGCGCCGTTCGCCTTTCCTTCATGGTGAGAGGCCTCTGATGAGTGATTTGGAGGTAGGCTGGGTCGGGCTGAGACTACTGGATGTGTCATAACACCATCATTGATCCCGAACAGAAAGGTGCGACCTCAGAGCCGGCGCTGGTTCCCCCACCCTTTTCATGAATCGCGCGTAACTGGTCCAGATTAGCATAAGCACATGGTTTAAGTCTCCTCCCTAAGGGGGCTCAGAGCAAGCCCGGAAGAGGAGCGCCGAAATGTGCCCAGAACGAGCTTCGGAGGCAGAAATTTCAATGCCAGGATTCCCCCCATTTCGCAGTGCTTATGAAAACGCCCGAACTTCCGATCATGGCCTTACATTAGGTGCTAATTTGCTAGATGAGCCACTGCAAGGAAAAAGAGGATAACGACCACAAGATGGGCCAAGACGCCCAACGCTCCGAGCACGTATCTTATGCCGTTATTTCAGGCATTATGCCGTCTTGATATTTATGTCATGTCAACCTGGATACTTTGAACAGCAACCAGCACAACTAGACAGGCGAAGGACAGGCACAGTGACGTGAGGAAGCCCAGCCAGTTAGCAGTTGACTCAACACTAATCTAGTCAATTAACCTCCAACCTACAGAACTATGCTCATCTAAAAGGCAAATCCAGCTTTGCAGTGCTCCTCACAGCCCATGGAGAGCACTGGCTTGAAGACCCATCCAACCTGAGCACCTTGGGTGACGAATTTAAATATGTAACTCGTCAATCGGGCTCAAGCACTCGCTGGGAGTCGCTCAGGTCATGTGACACGGCTGGCCAAGCGGGCTCTAGGTCCTAAATGAATGCAGTGACAGTGATTAAAAATGTGGATTAAAAGGTACAAGCTGATTTTTTATCCCTGAGACAGAGCAGCTGATGGTGGCATTCAGGGTGAGCTATAGGCTTAAGGGCCTTCCTGTCCAAAACACAGAGGCTGTTAATGAGGTAACAAGCCAAATGTCCAGTAGGGCGGCGCTGACAGTAACTCGTCACGGCCTGCTCCGGGGACCTCGACCGGCTAAGGCTACTTTCAGAAAACCCAAAACCTTGTGCCGGGAATTCCACGCCAAGGGTATGTCACTTTGGGTCAAGGGTCGATAAATCTGTAAACATACACGTGAGCGCTGAATATCTGAACACACGGCAATGGTGTCAGATGCACCAGGCGTTTCACAGAGCCACAAAGAGCGTCTCACAGAGTCAAGGGAGGAGATACGAGATACAGGCCTACAAATCCGCAGACTCACACCAATTCACTTGGTTACCCTGATGGTAAAGCAGGTTTGAGAGGTCGAAAGTAAAAGGGGGCAGGACTTACCGGCGTTCATCAGGGGGTTGTTATCGCGGTCATTCAAGGTCCCGTGCGGCGACTCGCACACCAGCGTGCACTGTAAGAAGAGGGACACGTTGCAGGGTCAAACACGCAGGAAAAGGAGCGTTTCCTGAGGCAACACACGTCTTTAAAATGCGTCACGTATAACATACAAATGCGGGGTCCTGAAACCAGCTCTGGATCAGAAAGCTGCACGCAGTTTCTCGGATTCCTCGTCTCTGAGGTTCACCAGTGAGCTTCTGACGGCTTCAGCTAATTTGCCCCGTTTTCGGGAAATGCCGCATTCCGCCAGAACTCCGGGTGGAAATACAGCAGCACGGATAATGCTGCTAATTAGCTAATAAATTACACCAATTAGACCGGCAGGAAGAGAGGCGGCGTTCGACACGGGCCTGGGGGATTCCAGTTTTGACACCGATGCAACGATTTCTGGAGTTCTGGTCTCCAAACGCAACACCGACAAGGTCCAAACCCGTCATCCGCTCAGCACGACCCAGCCGAGATCCTCCCATGACCTCATATTAACTAGTGACCTCAACAGATCTCACAGTTAGTGGCTTTTTTTTTTTTTATCTGGGGGCACAACCTGCTGAGGCTTTACTGACCACAGTGGACCAATAGAATGCAGACACTTGATCACATGACTTCCGAGGTGAATACTAACGTATCATTACCCCTCCCTGACCTTCACCCAATCACATTCAATCAAGCCAGAGCAACAACTGTCTTTCCCTCATATGAAAGGGCCTGAAACGCCAGTCAGAAACAATCTACGTCTCCTTACTGTAAAACGGGCATCCTGAACATGCATGGGAATCGTTCATGTCAGAACACAGCAGCACTTTTTGGGATTGCGTTCAATTTACAAAAAGCATTTCATTAAAGCTTGTTTTAATTTGGATATAAAGGCACGCCGGGATGTGAAAATGATGCTGCAAGTTTGAAAAGCCCTGTCACACACAGACACACACCCAGACCAAGACACACACACACACACACACACACACAGGTCTCAGTAAGCCAGCAAGGAGGCGAGACCAAGGAGAAACATCAGCCTCTTTTCACAGAACTTGTCTCCCAGCTCTGTTAATCAGCGTGGAGCGACGCGTAACTTATCGCTAGAGAGCAGGCATGCCCCCCCCCCGCCAGGCCCCCGCTGCCGTTACAGAGAGCAGGGCCTGAGCAAAGGCAGCCGTCAAACAGCAGCAGTAAATTAGGCAAGCGGCAGCAGAAACAGACCTGGACCCATAGACCCGGACTCGAGGGTGGGGGGAGCATATCCAATGAGCTCACACGCTCCCACCGCTTTGATTTCGAGCACCCACCCACCCCCCCAATAACGGAAAACAGCGATGAGGTCTGCGACTCTGCTCCTGACGTCTTGAAAAGCCAGTGGGAGTCTCCATGTTGACCTGCCCTAATGGGTGACTGGGGGGCACCAGGCTGTGCCAAATTACCTGAGAGGTGGGGGGGGGGGGGGGGACTCTTCGAAGAGCTTAGGGAACATAGTTCTAGGGGGGCAGGGTATGGGAAAACACACACAGTGGGAGAGAGAGAATGATAGAGGCTGAATGGGCCCTCACACACACACGCACACACACACACACACACACGCACACACACACACACACGGGATCTGTAAAGATAAAAGATAACCCAAGGCTGATGAATCTCACCCCCCCCCCCCCGGCTAACACTTAAAGCCTCATGGCATCTGGAGAAGGCAATAGCCCATAATTTAATCCTCCTGGCCGAGAGATGGCCGGCCCACCTTCTGTCCCGGCACATCCGCCGCGATGTGGTCCACCTCTCCGTCTTCAATCTCCCCCATCTTCAGACGGCTGACCACGACTGCCCCGACTGCGCTGGTACCATCGGAGGTCCTGGTGGGGGGGTGGGGGGGAGAGAGACAGCAGCTTTGTCAAGGCTCATCCCGAATCCCCTGGGACTACCGTTCCGGTACAGAGCAGCGTTCACACTAGCGCCACCTGATGGACGTGTATATGTCCGAGAGACCCACCCAGCCCCCTGATGATGTCCGAGGGTTAGGGCGGAGCTGGAAAACCCATGTTACCGATTCAGCCTTTTCAAACAAAGAAATAAGAGTCCCTCTGCACCAAGCCAACACTTTCAATTACGTCAATTGATCTTCTTTAAATGGCCTCTGTCCCTCTTCGACACGATAATTAGGGAAGGTGGTGATCAATAAAATCTGTCGACCCTTTGAAAATTTTGTGGTGGGTCTCCCTGTCATGATGGGGGGGGGGGGGGGGAATGCAATTGACATAGCAGATGTCAGATTTCTATACCCCATTACATAAAAACTAAAGTTCCACGACTGTTCCGGTAGGTCTGTGTGTGCCCGAATACCCCAACCCACAGCTAACATTACAGAAGTAAGGGAAGCATGAGACCCTGCAGAGCATCCTGACGGGTAATTCCACAGACGTGCAAATCAGCTGGGTGGAGAACCTGTCCACGCTGCCAGGAGATGCATGTGCCGTGGCGATAAACTCCGGAGCTCCAGGACAGTCCGCGCCGTGCAGGACGGCCTTCCCCATTGCGGCTGGTGCTCAGAAGCCCCGACGGACCGCGTCCCTCCGACTAATCCGCTCGGCCCCTACATGACGACCAGTCACCCGAGGAGCTTCGTCAAAGCATGGAAAATCACAAGCACCAGACTGCTGGCTTGAATTCTGAATTATTCAAAGGAATCGGAAGCTCTTAATAAGGCACTCTGTGGTTATGAGAAGCGGCGAGCAAATCGGGTAGTCGATGCGAGCAGTGGTATAAAAATCCCACCAGCATGAGACAATCATACATCTAGGAAATCTGACTTGTCTAGAATTCAGCAATACAAAGTGACCACTGAGGAAGTGTTTTGAGGAGACACCTCAAGTTCAGCCAAGATGCTTCTTATTCATCTTTCCTTGCATTGCATTGGAAGCATCTCCTCATCTCTGTTGTAGGACCTCCGGCACAGCATCGACTGGGCAAGCAAGTCCATAACTCTGGGCCAAAGAGGCAACACTGAGACGGCTGCCTTCGCAGGTGAAATGCAATTCTTGCCACAGGGTCGCGGCCAATACCCACTGACGCAAAATGGCACCTGGGTCCACACAAGAGGTCTCTATCGGAAGGGAGTGGATAAGTGTCTCCCACAGCACAGGCTCTCTGAAAGTCACAGGGGCGAGATGGGAAGTGTTAAGAAGGATTAAAGGTGGAGAAACAGTAATCGCACTCATGAATCTTCCCAGGTTGGTCTGCCGGAGACTGTGTAAAGTCATTGTCCAGCTGGTTCTCATCACTTTTTGAGTGTACTGTTATTTAATGAAAACATTAGGAAACTTGACACATAAAAAGAAAAGGTTAAGTGTTTCCATTACGGAGCGTTTCTCCCGGCAATAACACATGGAGGAAACGACAGTGCTTTAGCGGGAAATTGCCACTAGCTTGTTCTTCCTCCCATGCGAGCCGCTCAGGCAGCAAATTCAGGTGTCGCTCCAACATGGATAGTTTATTGTCAAGGCGACTGATAGATCCTCCGCGGAAATCGCCAGAGATGCACCGGGATGTTTACTGAAGCGCTTCTGGGCCTCGATTATTGTAACTCTCCACTGGCGCCGAAACTCATAGTCACCTCCATCTGAGCTGAGCTGAATTCTCAATGGGCAGAAGAACAAATAAACCTGGAAGTCCCGTTATATCGCCGAGCCGTTGTCTAGAGCCACCAGATGCCGATCGAGGATTCAAACACAATTCTCAGATGGCCTAAACCCTTATCCCTGGAAGTCAGACAAGTCAAATTAGACAAGGAATGAGGTGAGGCTCTTCTTCCAAGGTAGACGTCTAGCTTGTCTGTCAGGACACGGGGACACATTCCGCATTACAACCGGAGAGGCTGATTAAGCCGTACTTTGACAGTAGGGCTTGTATTCCTGTCCTACATCTAATCTGGACAGAGGTAAGAATAGCCCAGAAGAAAAATGTCACGACACAGATGTCCATAAACACATATATTAGCGACCTCTAATCCTTGCAGGCGGCTAGCCTTTCAGCATTGGGTCTCATGAACTGGTCATCAAGCTCTGTCAGAAACAAGGCTGACTGAGTTCTGGAAGCGCTCCGACCGGGCTGCTCGACCCAGACCTGAAGGCATGCGAGACGTTCATTAGCGACAGTTGGCCAGACGAAATTGGCTCTGGACGCTTTGGTCTGTAGTCCATTATCCACAAATAATGAGGAAGAGGCCGATAGCACAGACACAGACATGCTTGAACGAGTGATTCATCGCTCATTGTCCTGCAAACCCTTTGTGCCCATTAACTGTCCTTCGCTGTCCGTGACGTTACCATCAGAAACGCTACTATTTAATGCATTAATTTCCTGCTGAGAATTATTTGTATTGAATGTAAGGTTCAGACAGCAAGACACAGGCTCAGCTGGCCAATTTCATTACTTTTTAACACACTACAGAGCCTTTCGGTTAACCAAAATCTAACTGTAACAAAAATATTCTTTCAGACAGAACATGTTAAATTGTTTCTCAGATATCCTCAAGAGGGAAGTGCGGCTGTTAATTTAATGTACGATGAAATGATTACAGCAATAAAGCTGGAACCACTTTTTTCCATATTTAGATGATAAATGATGATAAATTTCGATGCTTCAATTCGCCGCAGTGCATAGAAGCGTGACCTTGCTGGGATACCAAAAATCACTGCCTAAGGTTATGGCAGTGTCCGTTTCTTTTCCAGAAGGCTTCCAAGAAAACAGGGAATCGAGGCACCACTCAAAGGCAAACGGTGGGGGGGGGACTCACAAGAGAGTGACATGGGGAGTCAATGTGAGTTATGGTGCATCTATCGCAGTTCCAGATAAAAACAGTCCGTTATCGAGTCTCTATCCTGTCCCCAGAAACCAAATCTTTCAGAAAGCTCAGCCTGGGCGCCGCAGTTCAAAAGAGGGCACTAAAAAATGTAATAAATCAACAGATTTGGCAAAACAAAAGTATAATTACTGAACAGCTACGATATGACTGCCAGAATTCATTTAGCTGCTGAGTGGAGAAAGAGCCCTTTTTAAACAAAGCACAAAATGACCCTGAAAACAGGGGAAACAGGAGAATCACTCTTCTTTCGGCAGATGGAGTTCAAGCTGTAAATCCTCTTTAAAGAAACCTGTTATTTTGAATGGGAGGGTGAAAACTGCAGTCAGTACATCAAAAAAAAAATTAGATAGCTGCAGCTGATCTAATACCATTGGCTGAACTACAGAAGCAACCAATACGATCGTGGGAATTTCTGCATCGATGTTTTATCTGATGTGATTCGATCTTTATCATAATAAACAAACATGCTGAAACAATGCATTTAACATTGTCAAGCCCCAATAGTTTAACCACTCAGTGACATTTATATATATATAAAAAAGAACGTGAACATTTAGTATAATGACATTTGGAAGAGAGACAGTCGGGTGTTCTCATCAATTAAGATATAATACATATATATACAGACACACACACACACACATATATACACACACACTCTCATACTAAATTTTTGTCATCTGCTCTTCAGAAGGGTGAGAACAGAACAGAATTCTGTGTTCTGTGTCAAGTGCTATGTAGCTGGAGAACAAAAAGATTCCTGAGGACTACAGAAGGAGAGCTGCTATAGAACATAAGACTGGGAAGGATGATAAAAGGATTTCTGAAGACTTGGGCCACCATCATGCAAGAGCATCACTACCCTCCTCTGGCTGGGAACCCTATGAAGATCAGTGGAAAGAGCATGCAATTAATGCCCCAAACAAGCGACAAAGAACCCTGGAGTAACAGCTAATGATCTACATGCATCTCTCACACTTGATAACATCTAGGTTAGTGCATCTACCATAAGAAAAAAAAACTAAACAAGTGTGGTTTTCATAATCACTGCTTTCCAAAAGAACATTGCCATCCAGCTGAAGACCACCAGGTCTTTCACAGCATCTCTGGACAGATGCGACAAACGTTGAGCTTTTGCGTAAATGTGCTCATGCCCGACTTCAAGAAAGAAAACACTGCGAACAGTGCAACCTCATCCCAACTGTGAAGCAGGGTGGAGGAAGCGTGATGTCTGGTGTTGCTTTGCTGCCTCCGGGCCTGGATGGCCAACGGTCACTGACGGACTGATGAATTCCAATTTGTATCAGAAACATCTACAGCCGAATGTCAAGGTGTCAGCATGCGATCTACAATTCAGAAGAGGCTCGATCGTACAGCGTGGCAGCGATCCTGGACACGGGAGTGAAACGACAACAAACCGAAGAAATTCCATATTTTAGAACGGCCAATCAGTCCTGACACAGAAACGCTGCGGCGTGATCTGAAGCAGGCCGTTCAAGCAAGACATCCCACAAATTTACATGAACTGACATAGTTTTGCATAGAGGATTGGCCAGAGATACCTCTTAACCCTTATCAGAAAGTGTTTTTTGAGGTTATGGCTAATAAAAATAGGATCAACACTAAATATAATGATTCATATATCGTTTGCATCAATGATCCCAATTGTTTGCACTATTTGTCCAATAAAGATAAAGCAATGCAAAATTTCATCATTTAAGATATATATTTATAGTTAAGATTAGATGAAGATCAGATGACATTTTAGGAGCCATTCGTGCAGAAATCCAGATAACTCCTTTACTCACAACTGTGTATAAGCCAAGTCAACACAGTTCCAGACCGAAAGCAAATGCACAAACACCATCGTGCATCCTACAGCTTTGTCTTGCACATTAACAGTTTCATTTCCTCGACTGAAATAGCTCCAGATGACACACACGCATAAAGAAATGAAATATTAAACATCCAAATCAACATCATCAGCTGTTT